AGCAGACCAACAGGCCAGTTGGTCCAACCGGCATTGGACCAACAGGCCAGTTGGACCAACCGGTCCATTGGACCAACAGGCCAATTGGTGCAACCGGTCCAGTGGACCAGCAGGCCAGCTGGTCCAACCGGTCCATTGAACCAACAGGCCAGTTGGTCCAACCGGTCCATTGGACCAACAGGCCAGTTGGTCCAATCGGTCCATTGGACCAGCAGGCCATTTGGTCCAACCGGTCCACTGGACCAACAGGCCAGTTGGTCCAACTGGTCCATTGGACCAACAAGCCAGTTGGTCGCAAACGTCCATTGGACCAACACGCTAGTCGGTCCACTAGACCAACAGGCCAGTTGGTCCACCTGTCCACTGGGCCAACATGCCAGTTGGTCCAACCGGTCCTCTGAGCCAACTAGCGAGTTGGTCCAACCGGTCCACTGGACCAACAGGTCAGTTGGTTCAATGAGTCCATTTGACCAACAGGCCAGTTTGTCCAACTGGTCCACTGGACCAACAGGCCAGTTGGTTCAATCGGTCCAGCGGACCAATAGGCCAATTGGTTCAATCGGTGAGGTGGACCAACAAGCAAGTTGGTCCAATTGGTACATTGGACCAACAGGCCAGTTGGTCCAATCAGTCCACTGGACCAACACGCTTGTTAGTCCAACCGGTCAAGTGGACCAACAGGCCAGTTGGTCCAACCGGTCCACTGGACCAACAGGCCAGTTGGTCCAATCGGTTCACTGAACCAACAGGCCAGTTGGTCCAACCGGTCCACTGGACCAATAAGCCAGTTGGTCCAACCGGTCCATCGGGCCAACAGGAAAGTTGGTCCAACCAGTCCATCGGACCAACGGCCAGTTGGTCCAACCGGTCCACTGGACGAAGAAGCAAGTTGGTCCAACCGGTCCATCGGGCCAACAAGCCAGTTGGTCCAACCGTTCCATCGGACCAACAGGCCAGTTGGTTTAACCGTTCCATCAGACCAAGAAGCCAGTTCGTCCAATGGGTCCATCGGACCAACAGGCCAGTTGGTCCAACCGGTCCATTGGACCAACCAGCCAGTTGGTCCAACCGTTCCCTGACCAAGAAGCAGCTGGTCCAACCGGTCCATTGGACAATCAGGCCAGTTCGTTCAGCCGGTCCATAGGACCAACAGGCCAGTTGGTCCAACCGGTCCATTGGACCAACAGGCGAGTTGGTCCAACCGGTCCATTGGACCAACAGGCCAGTTCGTCCAACCGGTCCGTTGTACCAACAGGCAAGTTCGTCCAACTTGTCCACTGGACCAACAGGCCAGTTGGTCCAACCGGTCCATTGGACCAACAGGCGAGTTCGTCCAACAGTTCCATTAGACCAACAGGCAAGTTGGTCCAGCCGGTCCATTGGACCAACAGGCCAGTTCGTCCAACCGGTCCATTGGACCAACAGGCCAGTTCGTCCAACCGGTCCATTGGACAAGCAGGCCAGTTGGTCCAACCGGTCCATTGGACCAGCTGGCCAGTTGGTCCAATCGGTCCACTGGACCAACAGGCCAGTTGGTCCAATGGGCAGGCCAGTTGGTCCAACCGGTCCATTGGACCAACAGGCCAGTTGGTCCAACCAGTCCATTGGACCAACAGGTTAGTTGGTCCAGCCGGTCCACTGGACCAACAGGTTAGTTGGTTCCGCCGGTCCACTGGACCAATTGGCTTGTTGGTTCAATCGGTCCAGTGGACCAACATGCCGGTTGGTCCAACCGGTCCACTGGACCAACTGGCTAGTTGGTCCAACCTGTCCAGCAGACCAACAGGCCAGTTGGTCCAACAGGCATTGGATCAACATGCCAGTTGGACCAACCGGTCCATTGGACCAACAGGCCAATTGGTGCAACCGGTCCAGTGGACCAGCAGGCCAGCTGGTCCAACCGGTCCATTGAACCAACAGGCCAGTTGGTCCAACCGGTCCATTGGACCAGCAGGCCATTTGGTCCAACCGGTCCACTGGGCCAACAAGCCAGTTGGTCCAACCGTTCCATCGGACCAACAGGCCAGTTGGTTTAACCGTTCCATCGGACCAAGAAGCCTGTTCGTCCAATGGGTCCATCGGACCAACAGGCCAGTTGGTCCAACCGGTCCATTGGACCAACTTGCCAGTTGGTCCAACCGGTCCATTGGACCAACCAGCCAGTTGGTCCAACCGGTCCCCGACCAACAAGCAGCTGGTCCAACCGGTCCATTTGACAATCAGGATAGTTGGTCCAGCCGGTCCATAGGACCAACAGGCCAGTTGGTCCAACCGGTCCATTCGACAATCAGGCCAGTTTGTTCAGCCGGTCCATAGGACCAACAGGCTAATTGGTCCAACCGGTCCATTGGACCAACAGGCCAGTTGGTCCAACCGGTCCATTGGACCAACAGGCGAGTTGGTCCAACCGGTCCATTGGACCAACAGGCCAGTTCGTCCAACCGGTCCATTGTACCAACAGGCCAGTTGGTCCAACCGGTCCATTGGACCAGCAGGCCAGTTGGTCCAATCGGTCCACTGGACCAACAGGCCAGTTGGTCCAATAGGTCCTAGTTGGTCCTATCGGTCCACTGGACCAACAGGCCAGTTCGTCCAATGGGCAGGCCAGTTGGTCCAATAGGCAGGCCAGTTGGTGTCACCGCATATGCACCTAATGCATATGCAATAACAGTATGATGATGGTGTAAGGGGGGCTTGTAGTGGCTGTTATGGGAACATTAGCTAGTTATAAGAGTATTAGTTAGGAATCAGTTGTAGGTGTAGAACGTAGGAAAGTTACTGTTAGGGAGGGGTGTAGAAAGGGGGAAATTGGATGGGAGCGGTTGGGATTGCGAGGGAAAAGGCACCGAAGGGCGAAATAGGAAGCCAAGCAGTCCCAACCCTGAGCCGCACTTTTGGGAATGTGCAGCTTGGGGTTGGGTAAGGGCAGTCACAGCCAACCCCTCGATGCTTTCGTGCTGTTATTCTCTCATATTAGTGGAAAGCTGTTACCTCTGATCTAGCATCCGGTGGCACGCCACTAGGGGAGGACCTACGGGGTGAGGGAGGAAACTCGTTCATAACAGCACGAAAGCCCATCGAGCGGTTCTAGCAAATAGCATAGAATGGACTGCCACGAGCTGCGCTGGCAGCGGACAGACTCGCGACGGGAAATCTTGCCGTCGCGGAGGATGTGCTCACGGGAGCATGGGAGATCACTTGTGCGTTCGCCACGGAGGGCGGCGTACGGCGCGGATTTGGTGACGCCCGTCGGTGGGCGAGCTGAAGGTGTCAGGTCGGAGCCCAGGATGGGCAGTGACCCGCGGATTCTGGCAGGAGGCCAGCGCGGAACGGGTGTAAGGCGTCGCGACGGTGTGGACGGGGTAGATTCGTCCGATTCGGCAATCGAGGCTGACGGCGCGGAAGAAGCAGACGGCGCGGAAGAAGCAGACGGCGCGGAAGAAGCAGACTGCGCGGAAGAAGCAGACGGCGCGGAAGAAGCTGACGGCGCGGAAGAAGCGGACGGCGCGGAAGGAGCAGACGGCGCGGAAGAAGCAGACGGCGCGGAAGAAGCAGACGGCGCGGAAGAAGCAGACGGTGCGGAAGAAGCGGACGGCGCGGAAGGAGCAGACGGCGCGGGAGAAGCAGACGGCGCGGAAGAAGCAGACGGCGCGGAAGGAGCAGATGGCGCGGGAGAAGCAGACGGCGCGGAAGAAGCAGACGGCGCCATCCCGATGGCGCGGGATGGTGAGAGGGAGGAAGTGGCGGAAGAAGGGCGCGACGGAGAGAGCAAGGATGCGGGAGGAAATTGCTCGCCGGTAAGGATGCGCGGAGGCGGCGCGAAGCGTCACGGGAACATGACGACAGGTCGTTCGCCGGAAGACATGCGCAAGGGAAGCGTGAGGCGCTGCGGGAGCACGGATGCAAACGGATTGGCAGACGAAGGGCGTGAGGAGGGCGCGAGGCACCGCGGGGGCGCGAATGCAGACGGATTGGCAGACGAAGGGCGCGGGGGCGCGGATGCAGATGGTACGGTGGACGAAATAGGTGGAAACAGCGTGAGGCACTGCGGAGGCAAGGATGCAGGTCGCTCGGCAGACGAAATGCGAGGTGGCAGCGCAAGGCGCCGCGGGAGAGCGGATGCAGACAGCTCGCCAGAACGGATGCGCGGGAGTGGCGGGAGGCGCCAAGGGAACATGGCGGCAGATCGTTCGCCAGAGGAGGTGCGCGAGGGAGATGCGAGGCGCCGCGGAACCGCAGCGGCAGGTCGCTCGCCGGACGATCTTCGGGAGGACAGCAGGAAAAACCATGCGCCAACGGGACGGTACAGCTCGCCTGAGCTGCGAGGACGTGGGAGGAGACGCGTGGCGATGGCCGCGCGGCGATCGCCAGAGGTGCGGAGGGAGCAGTATGAGCGAGGGAGACTGGCAGGTCAACGGGGGCCCACTGTTTGGGGGAGAGAGAGAGAGAGAGAGAGAGAGAGAGAGGTGAGGAGCAACGTGGGCGACGGGAGAGTAAGCCAGAGGAAGAACGGGGCAGACGAGCAGGTCCGGACGGGGAGCGAGGGGATTGTGAGGAAAGAGATGGGTGGTGCTCACCAGAGAGAGGAGGGGGGCGTGAGGAGGGACGCATCAGGGAAGGTGCACGACGATCGCTGGGCGCAACAAGGGCAGAAGAAAGGGGGAGAGGGAACCGACGGCGGCGGGAAGATGTGGAGCGAGAAAGGCGGTATCAGGAGCACTCGCATGATGGGAAGGAAAGGCGGTGGGACGGAGCAGAGAAGCGGAGAGCGGCTTACGAGAGAGAGCGAGGAAGGAGTCCGAGTACAAGGGGCCCGAGGGGGCGATGGCAATCAGGAGGAGGATCCGAAGGAGCCAGAGAGGGGACAGAACGGGCGCTGTATGGGGCAAGCTCGGGCAGCAGGGGAACAAGGAAAAGGGGTGAAGAGAAGCAGAGTAGGCGACGGGAAATGATGCTTGCGCATGAAACGGAGAGTGAGGACGAAGGAGAGTGTGACGGACCTACGCGCCACAGGTCGGGCCGAAGGGAGGGGCGTTGGAAAGAACATTCCCCGGAGAAGAGGGAGAGACCAGGGTGGGGATCGGAGAGATATGGGGAGGCTCAAGAGAGAGAGGGGGGAAGGAGCATAGGTCCGACGTGGCGGAGAAGGCGGCAGCAGTCATGGGTAGGCGCTACAGGGGCAAGGGCAGCCAGGGAAGGAAGTGGTCGAGTGCTGTATGGGACAGAGTCAAGAAGCAGAGAGTTGAGGGAGAGGAGGGGAGAGAGTAGCAGGAGGAATGAGAGCTCAGGGACTTGGGAGACAGGGAGGTGGAGTGCGCAGGCCCCACCTCAGGTAGAGGTGCCAGTGCGCTTTACGGGGGGAGCAGGGTCAGACACAAACGGTAATGTGAAGTACCGCTGCGACAGGAGTGGGATGGACCCGATAGAGTTTTTCTTGAGCCTGCCGAACACGCTGGGAGGCGAAGTTGAGACGCTATATCGTATGAAGATGAAGGAATGGCTGAGGAGGGCAGAGGAGGAGGATGAGGACCCAACCATTCTGTTCCTAGAGCGACTGCGGAAGCAGTTTCCAGGGCACACGGCGGAGAGGGTGAGAGAATTTCAGGAATTCCAGCGAGGGAGGGCCGAGTCACTGCTCACCTACTACGGTAGGTTGACGGATCTGGCGGAAGACGTGGTGTGCACAGATGGCAGCATGCTTATAAGCAAGTTCCTGGGGGGTCTGGATGAGGGATTGAGCGGCGGGCTGAGAATGAGAGTGTATGAGTTGGGAGCTGAAGCAACGCTGAAGGAGGTGTTTGAGTTGGCAGAGAGAGTGGAGCTGGCGCAGAGGCGGTATGAGGCGTACCTGCCGAGGGTGTTAGAGAAAGGGCGGCCCAGGTGGGCTGCAGCGATGATAACCGAGGACGGGGGTGGGGAGGAGCAGTGGCAGGAGAGGCGAGCAGAAACACGGACGTGCCACAGGTGCGGGCAGGAGGGGCATATCAGGAGGGAGTGCAAGAACTGTGATGTGTGCGGAAAGCCTGGGCACCGACGGAGGGACTGCCCAGATGCACCGAGCTGTGAGGTGTGTGGGAATCGGGCAAGAAACTGCTATGAGACGAGCAGGTGGGGGCAGAAGCGTGTGCATTAGCAGCGGCGGAAGCGGGAGGGAAGAACGAGAAGGTGGGGGCATGTTCGGGTGTACCAGTGGCAGCAGAAGCGGAAGGGAGGGAAGGGAAGGTGGGAGCACAGGCGGGCATGACAGCAGTAGCGGAAGCGGAAAGCGGGGCAGTGAAGGTGGTGGCACAGGCGTGCATGACATCAGTAGAGGAAGCGGAAAGCGGGGTAGTGAAGGTGGGGGCACAGGCGGGCATGACAGCAGTAGCGGAAGCGGAAAGCGGGGCAGTGAAGGTGGGGACACAGGCGTGCATGACAGCAGTAGCGGAAGCGGAAAGCGGGGCAGTGAAGGTGGGGGCACAGGCGTGCAAACCAGAAGTAGCAGAAGCGGCAGGGAGGAAAGAGAAGGAGAGAGCACCGGCGTGCGCAGTAGCAGCAGCGGAAACGGAAGAGGAAAGGAAAGAAGAGAAGTTGGGGGGCACAGGCGTGTGCAGTAGCAGCAGCAGAATAGGAAGGGAAAGAAGCGAGGTTGGGGGCACAGGCGTGTGCAGTAGCAGCAGCAGAAGAGGAAGGGAAAGACGAGAAGTTGGGGGGCACAGGCGTGTGTAGTAGCAGCAGCAGAAGAGGAAGGGAAGGAGAGAAGTTGGGGCACAGGCGTGTGCAGCGGCAGCAGCAGAAGAGGAAAGGAAGGAAGAGACGTTGGGGACACAGGCGTGTGCAGCAGCAGCAGCAGAAAAGGAAGGGAAAGAAGAGAATTTGGAGACACAGGCGTGTGGAGCAGCAGCAGAAGAAGAGGAAGGGAAGGAAGAGAAAGTAGGGGCACCTGAGTGTGTAGCAGCAGCAGCGGAGGCGGGAGTGGAGGATGAGGAGGGAGGATGGGCAGGGTGGACTGCAAAGGAAGGATCTAAGTGGACGGTGGGGGGGGGGCCAATGAGCGGGCAGGGGAGGGAGGTCACACTCGTGACACAGACAGTGGGAACAGGAGGGGTGGAGAATGGCGTGGCATTGGTAGAAACCAGGGCAAGGTACCTGAAGGAAGGACTGCCGGCAGCACGGGAGAACTTACAGACAGTGCAGCTGAGAGATGCACACAGGCCAGAGGAGCGGCTGCAGCAGGGCTGCACCAAGCACAAGGGCGGCAGAAGGAGTGAGACAGGAAGTCTACCCCTCGGGGGGACAGAAGGATACTCTGGAACAGGAAGTGGTGCTGGGCACACAGAGAAGGAGGGCGACGAATCTGAGGGGGCGGGAGTGCTGTGTCAGAGAGTGGGCGAAGAGAGAAGACAGGGGACCACCAATACTGCAGTGGTGAGAAGTACCCCGGCCTCAGCAAGAGTGTCCAGTGCCTCGTGCACGGGAGACCCGAGCACGAGCTCTGGAGGGGGCATGTGGTGGCTGAGGCAGAGAAGGGAAGGTATCACGGGAACAGGGCAGAGGGAAAAAGGGAGGGAGGATGAGTGCCGGGAGGAGAGGGCAGGCCATGGGAGGAAACAGAGGAGGGGGCAGTGGTACGAGTGAGGCATCTCCAAGAGGGTCCTGTGACACGAGCTCAAGCGGCTAGAGCACGAGCACAGGAGGGGGCAGCGGTTGAGTGAGGCTTTGCAACACGGAGAAGGGAGGAAGCAGAGAGACAGCAGGAGAAGAGCAGGTGCAGGAAGAAGAGCAGGAGCAGGGAGAAGAGTAGCTGCGAGGAGCGGAGCATGGGCTGGGAGAAGGAAGGTTCTCCGACAGCTGTCACCGCATATGCACCTAATGCATATGCAATAACAGTAGGATGATGGTGTAAGGGGGGCTTGTAGTGGCTGTTATGGGATCATTAGCTAGTTATAAGAGTATTAGTTAGGAATCAGTTGTAGGTGTAGAACGTAGGAAAGTTACTGTTAGGGAGGGGTGTAGAAAGGGGGAAATTGGATGGGAGCGGTTGGGATTGCGAGGGAAAAGGCACCAAAGGGCGAAATAGGAAGCCAAGCAGTCCCAACCCCGAGCCGCACTTTTGGGAATGTGCAGCTTGGGGTTGGGTAAGGGCAGTGACAGCCAACCCCTCGATGCTTTCGTGCTGTTATTCTCTCATATTAGTGGAAAGCTGTTACCTCTGATCTAGCATCCGGTGGTACGCCACTAGGGGAGGACCTACGGGGTGAGGGAGGAAACTCATTCAATGTGGTGGCTGAGGCAGAGAAGGGAAGGTATCATGGGAACAGGGCAGAGGGAAGAAGGGAGGGAGGATGAGTGCCGGGAGGAGAGGGCAGGCCATGGGAGGAAACGGAGGAGGGGGCAGTGGTACGAGTGAGGCATCTCCAAGAGGGTCCTGTGACACGAGCTCAAGCGGCTAGAGCACGAGCACAGGAGGGGGCAGCGGTTGAGTGAGGCTTTGCAACACGGAGAAGGGAGGAAGCAGAGAGACAGCAGGAGAAGAGCAGGTGCAGGAAGAAGAGCAGGAGCAGGGAGAAGAGTAGGTGCGAGGAGCAGAGCATGGGCTGGGAGAAGGAAGGTTCTCCGACATTGGTCCAACCAGTCCATTGGACCAACAGGCCAGTTGGTCCAACCGGTCCATTGGACCAACAGGTTAGTTGGTCCAGCCGGTCCACTGGACCAACAGGTTAGTTGGTCCAACCGGTCCACAGGACCAACAGGTTAGTTGGTCCAACCGGTCCACTGGACCAACTAGCCAGTTGGTCCAACCGGTCCACTGGACCAACAGGTCAGTTGGTTCAACGAGTCCATTTGACCAACAGGCCAGTTTGTCCAACTGGTCCACTGGACCAACAGGCCAGTTGGTTCAATCGGTCCAGTGGACCAATAGGCCAGTTGGTTCAATCGGTCTAGTGGACCAACAAGCAAGTTGGTCCTACTGGTCCAAACGGTCCACTGGACCAACACGCTAGTTAGTCCAACCGGTCAAGTGGACCAACAGGCCTGTTGGTCCAACCGGTACACTGGACCAATAGGCCAGTTGGTCCAATCGGTTCACTGAACCAACAGGCCAGTTGGTCCAACCGGTCCACTGGACCAACAAGCCAGTTGCTCCAACCGGTCCATCGGGCCAACAGGCCAGTTGGTCCAACCGGTCCATCAGACCAACGGCCAGTTGGTCCAACCGGTCCACTGGACCAAGAAGCAAGTTGGTCCAACCGGTCCATCGGGCCAACAAGCCAGTTGGTCCAACCGTTCCATCGGACCAACAGGCCAGTTGGTTTAACCGTTCCATCGGACCAAGCAGCCAGTTCGTCCAATGGGTCCATCGGACAAACACGCCAGTTGGTCCAACCGGTCCATTGGACCAACCAGCCAGTTGGTCCAACCGGTCCCCAACCAACAAGCAACTGGTCCAACCGGTCCATTTGACAATCAGGACAGTTGGTCCAGCCGGTCCATAGGACCAATAGGCCAGTTGGTCCAACCGGTCCATTGGACAATCAGGCCAGTTTGTCCAGCCGGTCCATAGGACCAACAGGCTAGTTGGTCCAACCGGCCCATTGGACCAACAGGCCAGTTGGTCCAACCGGTCCATTGGACCATAGGCGAGTTGGTCCAACTGGTCCATTGGACCAACAGGCCAGTTGGTCCAACCGGTCCATTGGACCTACAGGTCAATTTGTCCAACCGGTCCATTGGACCAACAGGCCCGTTGGTCCAACCGGTCCATTGGACCAACAGGCCAGTTGGTCCAACCGGTCCACTGGACCAACAGGCCAGTTGGTCCAACCGGTCCATTTGACCAACAGGCAAGTTGGTCCAACCGGTCCATTGGACCAACAGGTCAATTGGTCCAACCGGTCCATTGGACCAACAGGCCAATTGGTCCAACCGGTCCATTGGACCAACAGGCCAATTGGTCCAACCGGTCCACTGGACCAACAGGCCAGTTGGTCCAACCGGTCCATTTGACCAACAGGCCAGTTGGTCCAATGGGTCCATAGGACCAACTGGCTTGCTGGTCCAATCGGTCCACTGGACCAACAGGCCAGTTGGTCCAATGGGCAGGCCAGTTGGTCCAATCGGTCCACTGGACCAACAGGCCTGTTGGTCCAACCGGTCCATTGGACCAACAGGCCAGTTGGTCCAACCGGTCCACTGGACAAACAGGCCAGTTGGTCCAACCAGTCCATTTGACCAACAGGCCAGTTGGTCGAACCGGTCCATTGGACCAAGAGGCCAGTTGGTCCAACCGGTCCATTGGACCAACAGGCCAATTGGTCCAACCGGTCCATTGGACCAAGAGGCCAGTTGGTCCAATCGGTCCATTGGACCAAGAGGCCAGTTGGTCCAATCGGTCCACTAGACCAACAAGCCAGTTGGTCCAACCGGTCCATTGGACCAACAGGCCAGTTGGTCCAACCGGTCCACTAGACCAACAGGCCAGTTGGTCCAACCGGTCCATTCTACCAACAGGCCAGTTGGTCCCAAAGGTCCATTGGACCAACACTCTAGTCCGTCCACTAGACCAACAGGCCAGTTGGTCCACCTGCCCACTGGGCCAACATGCCAGTTGGTCCAACCGGTCCACTGAGCCAACTAGCCAGTTGGTCCAAATGGTCTACTGGACCAACAGGTCAGTTGGTTCAACGAGTCCATTTGACCAACATGCCAGTTTGTCCAACTGGTCCACTGGACCAACAGGCCAGTTGGTTCAATCGGTCCACTGGACCAATAGGCCAGTTGGTTCAATCGGTCTAGTGGACCAACAGGCAAGTTGGTCCAACTGGTCCATTGGACCAACAGGCCAGTTGGTCCAATCGGTCCACTGGACCAACAGGCCAGTTGGTCCAACCGGTCAAGTGGACCAACAGGTCAGTTGGTCCAACCGGTCAAGTGGACCAACAGGTCAGTTGGTCCAACAAGCTAGTTGGTCCAATGGACAGGCCAGTTGGTCCAACCGGTCCACTGGACCAACAGGCTAGTTGGTCCAACCTGTCCAGCAGACCAACAGGCCAGTTGGTCCAACAGGCATTGGACCAACAGGCCAGTTGGACCAACCGGTCCATTGGACCAACAGGCCAATTGGTGCAACCGGTCCAGTGGACCAGCAGGCCAGCTGGTCCAACCGGTCCATTGAACCAACAGGCCAGTTGGTTTAACCGGTCCATTGGACCAACAGGCCAGTTGGTCCAACCGGTCCATGGGACCAGCAGGCCATTTGGTCCAACCGGTCCACTGGCCCAACAAGCCAGTTGGTCCAAGCGTTCCATCGGACCAAGAGGCCAGTTGGTTTAACCGTTCCATCGGACCAAGAAGCCAGTTCGTCCAATGGGTCCATCGGACCAACAGGCCAGTTGGTCCAACCGGTCCATTGGACCAACCAGCCAGTTGGTCCAACCGGTCCCCGACCAACAAGCAGCTAGTCCAACCGGTCCATTTGACAATCAGGACAGTTGGTCCAGCCGGTCCATAGGACCAACAGGCCAGTTGGTCCAACCGGTCCATTTGAAAATCAGGCCAGTTTGTCCAACCGGTCCATTGGACCAACAGGCCAGTTGGTCCAACCGGTCCATTGGACCATAGGCGAGTTGGTCCAACTGGTCCATTGGACCAACAGGCAAGTTGGTCCAACCGGGCCATTGGACCAACAGGCCAGTTGGTCCAACCGGTCCATTGGACCAACAGGCGAGTTGGTCCAACCGGTCCATTGGACCAACAGGCCAGTTCGTCCAACCGGTCCATTGTACCAATAGGCAAGTTCATCCAACTTGTCCACTGGACCAACAGGCCAGTTGGTCCAACAGGTCCATTGGACCAACAGGCGAGTTCGTCCATCAGTTCCATTAGACCAACAGGCCAGTTGGTCCAACCGGTCCATTGGACCAACAGGCCAGTTCGTCCAACCGGTCCATTGGACCAACAGGCCAGTTCGTCCAACCGGTCCATTGGACCAGCAGGCGAGTTGTTCCAACCGGTCCATTGGACCAGCAGGCCAGTTGGTCCAATCGGTCCACTGGACCAACAGGCCAGTTGGTCCAATAGGTCCCAGTTGGTCCTATCGATCCACTGGACCAACAGGCCAGTTGGTCCAATGGGCAGGCCAGTTGGTCCAATAGGCAGGCCAGTTGGTCCAACCGGTCCATTGGACCAACAGGCCAGTTGGTCCAACCGGTCCATTAGACAAACAGGTTAGTTGGTCCAGCCGGTCCACTGGACCAACAGGTTAGTTGGTCCAACTGGTCCACAGGACCAACAGGTTAGTTGGTCCAACCGGTCCACTGGACCAACTAGCCAGTTGGTCCAACCGGTCCACTGGACCAACAGGTCAGTTGGTTCAACGAGTCCATTTGACCAACAGGCCAGTTTGTCCAACTGGTCCACTGGACCAACAGGCCAGTTGGTTCAATCGGTCCAGTGGACCAATAGGCCAGTTGGTCCTATCGGTCCACTGGACCAACAGGCCAGTTGGTCCAATGGGCAGACCAGTTGGTCCAACCGGTCCATTGGACCAACAGGCCAGTTGGTCCAACCGGTCGATTGGACCAACAGGTTAGTTGGTCCAGCTAGTCCACTGGACCATCAGGTTAGTTGGTTCAGCCAGTCCACTGGACCAATAGGCCTGTTGGTTCAATCGGTCCAGTGGACCAACATGCCAGTTGGTCCAACCGGTCCACTGGACCAACAGGCCTCTTGGTCCAACCTGTCCAGCAGACCAACAGGCCAGTTGGTCCAACCGGCTTTGGACCAACCGGTCCATTGGACCAACAGGCCAGTTGGTGCAACCGGTCCATTGGACCAACAGGCCAGCTGGTCCAACCGGTCCATTGTACCAACAAGCCAGTTGGTCCAACCAGTCCATTGGACCAGCAGGCCAGTTGGTCCAACCGGTCCACTGGACCAACAGGCGAGTTCGTCCAACAGTTCCATTAGACCAACAGGCCAGTTGGTCCAACCGGTCCATTGGACCAACAGGCCAGTTCGTCCAACCGGTCCATTGGACCAACAGGCCAGTTGGTGCAACCGGTCCAGTGGACCAGCAGGCCAGTTGGTCCAATCGGTCCATTGGACCAACAGGCCAGTTGGTCCAACCGGTCCAGTGGACCAGCACGCCAGTTGGTCCAATCGGTCCACTAGACCAACAGGCCAGTTGGTCCAATGGGCAGGCCAGTTGGTCCAACCGGTCCATTGGACCAACAGGCCAGTTGGTCCAACCGGTCCATTGGACCAACAGGTTAGTTGGTCCAGCCAGTCCACTGGACCATCAGGTTAGTTGGTTCAGCCAGTCCACTGGACCAATAGGCCTGTTGGTTCAATCGGTCCAGTCCACTGGACCAACAGGCCAGTTGGTCCAACCTGTCTTGCAGACCAACAAGCCAGTTGGTCCAACCGGCTTTGGACCAACGGGCCAGTTGGACCAACCGGTCCATTGGACCAACAGGCCAGTTGGTGCAACCGGTCCATTGGACCAACAGGCCAGCTGGTCCAACCGGTCCATTTTAACCAACAAGCCAGTTGGTCCAACCAGTCCATTGGACCAGCAGGCAAGTTGGTCCAACCGGTCCACTGGACCAACCGGCTAGTTGGTCCAACGGGTCCATTGGACCAACAAGACAATTGGTCCAATCGGTCCACTGGACCAACAGGCCAGTTGGTCCAACCGTTCCATTGGACCAAGAGGCTTGTTGGTCCAATCAGTCCACAGGACCAACAGGCCAGTTGGTCCACCCGGTCCATTTGACCAACTGGCCAGTTGGTCCAACCGGTCCATTGGACCAACAGGCCAGTTGGTCCAACCGGTCCATTGGACCAACAGGCCAGTTGGTCCAACATGTCCATTGGACCAACAGGCCAGTTGGTCCAACCGGTCCATTCTACCAACAGGCCAGTTGGTCCAACTGGTCCATTGGACCAACAGGCCAAATGGAACAACTAGTCCATTGGACCAACAGGCCAATTGGTCGCAAAGGTCCATTGGACCAACACGCTAGTCGGTCCACTAGACCAACAGGCCAGTTGGTCCACCTGTCCACTGGGCCAACATGCCAGTTGGTCCAACCGGTCCACTGAGCCAACTAACCAGTTGGTCCAACCGGTCCACTGGACCAACAGGTCAGTTGGTTCAACGAGTCCATTTGACCAATAGGCCAGTTTGTCCAACTGGTCCACTGGACCAACAGGCCAGTTGGTTCAATCGGTCCACTGGACCAATAGGCGAGTTGGT